GCTCACTGCCTATGTCAACAACAATCTCTTTGGCTACTTCAGCTACTCAGGCTATTTCTGCAGCTCTCTGTGCACACTTTCAGCCATACTAACCCCTTTCCCCCCACTCACAATTTCTCCTTCAAATGTATCCTCCAGTTCTCTGTTAATGTCTTCTGCCCCCTGCCTATGTGTGTCAGTTCTCCTCTGACCCCACCTCTGCTCTTTCCTAGTTCCTGCCCACTGCATCTAGGCCAACTTGCAATATTGTATATCACCTCACTAACAACATCCAGCTTTGTGATAACAAGCACCACAAGGATAATGATGGCTTTTCACTGCTGTAATCAAGGAAGCTACACCTTGAAGCCTGAAAAACAACTAGGGAGACATTTTTGCATAGTCGAAGAATGAAGTACAAACCATAGACTTACCAAAAAACCAAAATGACCTTGTACAAAGTCTAAATATCCCCAATTTTGCCAATTTCAAAATCAGTAGATGATGTGATTGAATAGGTTACTTTTTTTGTTGCCCCCCCCCCCCCCCAAACAAAAACCAAAAAATCACAGAGGAACCATGAAACAATAACTGAATCCAGAAGAAGCCTAATAATGAGTCTCCATTTGTATAGAATAAGGTGGTCTCCTTTGTTGGGATTATAATTACCACCTGCCCATATTGCACACCAGCCATGTACTAGGTTGCCTGGATCACAGTCCCTGCAGTAGACAAATGACATTCTCTACATCAAAAATGATTGCAGGGTATACAAATAGAAGAGTCCAATAAAAATGAACAAGTAAATACAAACACATCCCAGCTGGACAGTTTATATCAAGTCAAACACCCTTCCAGCAGCTTAATTATTGCCTTTTTATGAGAATGCCAATTACTCAGATGTCAACAAAAAAACACCTATCTAGTGGCAACATAACACCATTCATTTCCCTCAATTTGTCAGTCCTTAAACCCTGAACATGGCCAAGTCATAGATGTTAAAGCTCATGTGGAGTTTGTTGAGGGTGCATTAGATGAGGGAAAGCCAAATAGCTGGAAGGAGCTGAGAGTGTGAGATGAAAAGAAATTGAGGAATGCAAGAAAAAAACAATTTTTCTCACTGAAATGAAGTGAATTATGTCTTGTTGGTGCTGTCTCAAAGCAAAGCAGGTTTTGTAAATCTCTTTGAGTGACCAAAAACCTTGATTGAGGTCTGAAATTTACATGTGCTCAATTTGAATGTGTATGCCTGACACTTTGGATCACCGGGGAGCATTCACCCAAATCAGCAAGGGAAGAGGTTATGGCTACACTTGAGTTTTTGGCCAAGAATGAAGGGGCCCAGCAGTTAATGAGTAGAGAGGTATGAGGAACCAGCTGACCTGCAGACATGGGGTTCTGAGGAATAGAAAGTGCACATAGTGATGTTGTTCTAGCAACATGAGGGCCTTGAGTTTGAGGAGGAGATGATACAGGAGTGATACTAGAGTTGTTGGCAAGCAGGATAATGTGATTGTGGGTGTTGCTGAGAAGAAACCAATAGTACAAATAACCCTTGCCACTCCCAGCCAATAAATGGCCAGCCTTGGTTTTGCACTGAATCAGTAGTAACTAGTTAGTCATGCTCACAACAGGGTCAGGGGAAACTTACAACAAGAAAAGTAATGGCCTTGTGATCATTCTAACCTCTAGTGCAGTACCTGGGGTGCACTTCAGAAAGGCACCGCATGGAACAAAGGAAAGACTATCGATCGATAGATAGCAGTTTTTATTAGAGCAATTGTCTACTACAGATAAATGCTATAGAGTAAAGGTATACTTATTGGTGGCTTGGTACTGGCCCAGAATCTCTAAGTATTTTATCAAGTACTGAAGGTTGTAGCCTCTAACATTTTGCAGATAGTGCTCATGTAGCCTTGGCAAATGGTGCATGGGCTGCAAGCATGGCATGTTGGAGTTGTTGAACAGAATATAAACATACACCTGAGACATAAACATGTGTACATAGTGTGGCACCCAGCAACAGACCAGACCAAATTTCACAAGAGAAGACCACACTATGTATATTGCTGTCTTGCAGTTTGTTATCCAGTATATTCTGTCACTGTCTTACAGCCAACTCCCATGCACACATTCCTATGTGCAAACACCTAGGGCAAGCACATTGCACAGACATATCTTGACAAAGCTTAGTGGGGGGGATCAGGGCCTTGATTGCCAGCCACAATGTGCAGACAAACACACTATCTCACTTTCAATCAAGATCCCTGTCTCAAAATGGCCTGCACTTCAACTGATGGCTTCTTTTTTTGTCAAATTTCATCTCAACCTCATAACATCAAACCTTCCAAACATCCACATCAGTGAAAAGAAGATGCAGATAACCAAGACGCCACCACTATTACAAATACCACCATGGCATGGACCAGTGCCATTTACCTTTTCAAGTACACCCCTGGACTAGACTTAATCACTGCCTTGCTGTCCAGTTTGGGGACATGGGGGAATGTGCTAGGAGTGGTAAAAATAGCACATAAAATGTTGGATTGTGAATTAGACACCAGTCATTTGGGCACATGTTTGGTTGAATCAGAATGAGGTTTAATTCTGCATTGAGACCACTGTGTTAAATGCTACTGTATGAATTTTGTGATGCTAATGTTGGCATTGAAATGTGATTACATTGTTACAAACAAATGAAACAAAGCAAATGGTGGTAACAAAGAGGTCTTTCTTCTTGTCTACGATCTTCCCAACTTTCCTCTGATGATTGATGAAGGCAACAATAATGGGTGCACATTAAAGGGTGCTGATGGTGGAGTGTGTCACTTAAAGACAAAGTCAATGATGAAGCCAATAGCCAAATTAATGGTAATGACATGCAACATTGGAATGAACATCAATGATAATGTGTGATAATGACTGCAGCACAAGGAGACTTGTTGAATAGTAAAAGTGATTGTACCAGTCCCCTGGTTGACATTCAAGTCAGTCACCAGAAGGCTCTTCAAGCTGGGGTTCACCACAAATGATGTGGTGGTGAGATTGTTGGAGAACAAGGCCAAGAGTGCAGACATTTGGGCACCCCTATGGGATGGTTGTTATAGCCTTGAAAGTCAGTTCCATTCTTTTGGAAGGTCTGTGGGTGCCAGATATGTTAAGCATCCTTATGTGAGCCAAGCCACCTGCAAGGTTAATTACATCTTTGTCAGTCCAAATGACCTTGAAAGGATTATTGATGCCAAGTTGCTACAACCTGTTATTGCACTGGTGCTCCACCACTGCACCTGCACTGGGAGCTTGTCTGTTTGTTCTGTGAGAAGCTCCACCATTGCCTCCACAAGTGCTTTGCCCTTTGACATGCTAAGAGCAAGCTTAAGGCACAGTCAAGCTCTAGGAAGCCTGGCAACCATGTGGTGCAGTCTGGGGTGTGCCTTGTCTGCCTTGGTGAACTCAGCCTTGGTCCAGAATTGTCCTCCATGGATGAAAGTGGACTTCAACATTTACTATGTACTAAGCTGTCAAGCCTCCTTAAGGGTGCTTCTTCAACTGAGTGCACTCCCAACCACCTGAGCCCAACTCAACTATTTTTGCTCCCTCAGTAGCTCACTTGTTTCCCATTCAAGTACCATGTCCCATCTTTGAATGTATCAGCTATTCTTGCCCATAAATCCCCCAGGTCCTGTGAAATAGCCCAAGTAGGTAATGATTGCTCAAAGGGCAGTAAAAGTAAATCTATAAGCTAATACTGATGAGTTGGATATGAAAAAAACACTTGGATAAAGCTCATAACAGGTACTTGTAATAACCTTGACAGATTAAAAGGGGGTGTGGCTTATTGAAATCCATTGATACTCAAAAAATCTATGTGCATAAAGTGATGATGCATTATTCCAGTTGAACAGCTCTGATTGCCATCAATCATCCAACTCAGTGCTTTCATCAGTTTTATTGTAATTTTCTGTGCAGAAAAAGTATCAAAACTCCAAAATCCAATGTTTTACAGGCACTAGCTTGCCATCTTTAGAAACAAGACACTTTCTGGTTGATTTAGTTGTTTAGAGCACTTTGAGTAGCTAAAAGTTGATTAAGATTATAAGTGCCTTGGCATGTTAATAAGTGTAAAAATCATTACCCAAATCTTTGCTAGTTCATCAACTTTCTTTTACAGGCTGCACACAACAAGGTTTTGCCATTTTCTATATACCATTCCTTGTCTTCCCTTGAAGTTCCTCTACTTTCCATCTCTGCTGGAGTCTGCCTTCTTTCCCTTCTCTTTCTTCCACTTGTTGGTAACAGCAGGGTCCATTGTGTTGTGGGGAATCATGAGAGCTCTATTTTGTCTCCCCTCAAGAGGATTCCAGTACAATCCATGCTTTCTTAGAGTCATGACTGAAGGGAGTTCTACATTGAAAACCTTTCAAATTTGTTGTGCTGTTTCAGTACAAGACAACCCTGTATTGACCAAGCTGACATCACAGCCTGAACTTTCCAACTGCAAAATGTGCCATTCAGTTGATTGAGATTAAAAGGAGGCTGTTGAATTAGTATCTGGCACCATACAAAAACAGCTGGTTGAGCAGCAAAAGCAACTCTTCAAAAACAAAGACAAGTACCATAATTGCCACTTCCTCAAGGACCTTTTCTTCTGGGAAAGTAGCAATGTTGCTCAGATGTTGGACAGATAGATAAATACACTGTCAGTAGGCATTGAGAGAAAAGGACTGCAGTAAAATGAGTATGGATCAAGCATTGCACCAAAGGCTCTGGTTAACATACTTTTTCAAGCTTGTTCAAGGCATATCAACATCTGATTAGAGGCTAGGAGCATCAGCATATTCAAGGCTGCCATCATCCCATGAGAATGACATTTTTGGACTGAGTTGATGAGGTGCTGAACCTGAGCAGCTTGTTGGAATATCTCTCATGAATGCCTAAGGCATGCAAGTTCAGTGGGAAGGTCAGCTGTAAAAACATGCTGCAGATTTGCTAAACCCCAGCTGTGTTAAATACACAAAGTCTGGTCTGACTGGGAATTGAACTCAGGTCCTTCCACTAGTACTGGGATGCCTAACCACCAGACTATCTGACCAATATTAAGAGTACAGATTCATACACTAACAAGCTGATTAGCCCAAATCTCATCTATCCTGCCATCTTTGACCTCATCCTCCTTTGGTGTTTCACCTGCTTTGCTCTTCAGTCCTCCAAGTTGTTCCTCAGCCTGGGTAGGCAGGCAAGACTGGTTCAACTGGATGGTGGAATGATAGTGCAGTGAAAAACAATCCCTCAAACAGTATTGCAGGTAGGATGCTGCACTGTCCCCCCAAGGTAAAAAAAGGGTCTCCTGGTAGCAAACATCAAGCAAATGTAAGACAGAGGCAATGGCTGCAAACTTCCTAAGTTTGTGATCTGTACACCATCAATGGGTCAACCTCAATTCAACATGCACTTAATTATCTCAGTGTTTATTTTAGGATAGTGGCCACTCTGCCTTAGGGAGGTATTTGGCAAATTGTAAAAAAGGGGAGATTGGGTCCTGGGGTGCATCCTTGGAAGTAGAACTTTACTGTTAACTAGTTAGTTTGGTGACTTAGGGTAACACTACATTTATGTACATATTATGGATCACTGGAGCAGAAGTTTATTAGTGTGAAAAACAATAACATATCAATTTTATTTACTTCAGGGGGTTCCTTGTTGCTAATTGCTCACTGGACTGCGCTTGCCTATTTACTAGGGATGCATCACACTATCAACAGGTCGCATGTGGATTGAACTGCCTTTAAGTCAACAGCAAACTCACCTTGTTTTCACTTTTCCTCTTGCCAGAACTATTCATTTAACTTCATTCCTGCTGCCTTAGTCCTTTTTCTACTTTATAATAACAAAAAAAAATCATGTTTACCATGTATCTCTATGAGACTTGGGCCCAGTTTCCTAACTGAAGCATCAGTGTCAGTCATGGTAATGTAAACAGGTAGATAAAGTGTCAGGGAGCATGGATCATGATGAGTGTACAAAAAAAAGGTTCTGCCCCTTACACTTTCATCTATGTAGTACACTAGTAATCTCTAGACTGGTTTTATTGTCACCTGAGTTTATTGTGCTACATTGGTGAGTTATGCATGACCTTGCTACTTCTTAATATTGCAGCAACCCTGCACACTATCTTCTGAGCTTAACAATACTGCTGCAACAATGACCACACTGGCACCTACTCTAGGTCTTACATCAACAAGCAAAACTCAGTTATCCTAGTTATCTGAGTTAATGGTGCTATTTGAGTCAAAAATGTCAGATGGCCCTGATAGTTTTTTTTTTGCCAATACTATGGTAAGTTTTTTTGCATTGGTCATATGACAAGTTCCTGACCTAGAACTGGAACCCAGAAACAAAAAAAACAATGAGGGTATCTGACCCATCAAAGGAAAACTGGTACCTACTTGGGTCCATTTCTGTTCGCTTTACATGAGTTCCACTGGGAGTGACTGACTGAGTATGTTGACTTGATAGTGTGCTTTCTTTACAACATATATACTTACTATTATAGGGAGAGCCAGTCAATGAAGCTGATAAAAAGGAGGATGAGAAGAATAGTTCAATCATTCTATCATGAATGGGATACTTTTATTCTCCATTATGCATGGAAAATATAAAGTTTATACTGCTCCTGCATTGTCAGGAAAAATGGTTATGGAAGTTGTACATAGCAGAGTGTCAATTACTATGATTGCAGGAAGTAATGATAATTATCTCTGAGTTGGCATCAACTTCTGAGTGCTTGCAGATATTTTTCCCAATTGTCAGAATTTGGAGGAATTGTTGTGGGTGGGGATAGTGGCAATGCATTAGTAGTTCTAATGATGACTGTGTTAGTAAACCTCACATTCATGTATATATTGTCACCAGTAGTTTTGGCTAGGCTGAAATCTGCAAGTTTAGCTATCAAAGGTTACTTGGAAGCAACAAGAATATTCTGCAAATCTGTCATTCACAACATTTTTGTTCATATTACCTGCATAGCTTACCTGGGGCTTAATGTTGCAGTGAATGACATTCTTTCTATGTGAGAACCCTAAGACACTGCACATATCAGCCATTATGCATCTGGAATCAGACTCTGCTATGTTAATGTGAATCAGCAGCAGACATTGCCGTGAACCACAGAACTCACATAATCCTTGATATGAGAAAATCAACCAAGCAGATCACTGCAGAGCACAAACTCCATCACAATGATCAAGCAAACATAAACTGAGATTTAGCAGAAAAATTCCTAGCAGAAAAAAACATACCAAATGTCAAAGCTGATTCATAAACATAAATGAGTTTTACAATATTTGACTTGCAAACAACAATAAGCAGCATGGAACTGAAGAAAATCTGATGCACATACATGTTTTAACTCTTTCAATAGACCAGTCTATATTTTATTTTACTTCTTTCCTTGATACAATAATGCAAATGGAGGTATCCAACTTCCTCATGATCTTCACTGCAACCAGCTGATTTGTAGCAAGGCAAGTTGCTTGTTGGACAATTCCAAAGGAACCATGACCTAAATTACAACTGGTATTGAGCTCATTACTTGAATGCACTGATGTTGTACTCACACCAGTGTTCCAAGTTTGTAATGATTGTAAATTTGATGCAATTGCTTTTCAACAATATGACATAACAGCAATATAACAATACCTTGTTGTGGCCAACCTCAGTAAAGCAGAATTCTATAGATGAAAGAATCAACACATTGTGAAGGTTTTATATTATGCCTGTTTACCAAGTGGAGAAATATATTTTGTCAGTGTAATGATGTTGTTGCCTTTTGTCAGCCTCATGTTGTTCACCTGAAGATAGTCAGCATCAGGGTGGCTAGGTGCTATTTTGCTACTTATTCACACAAGTCCTATTATTGTTGTTGTCTTGAATAACAAACTGGATGTTTTCAGTCTCTGAGATTTTACAATGGGTGTAAAAATGTTGCAAACCTTTTCCTCTTTTTGTATCAAAATGTTGGTGGGTGCACAAAATGATACTCACTAAGAACATCTAATCTAATGCAAATGTTGTTTGCATTTATATCTCTTCCAATGCACCAATAGTTCTTGTCACACAACAAGAGTTCAACTTGTCTATTAATCTGTGTGAGTCTTCTCTACAACTCTTGGCTAAACATTGATGAAGGCAACTAAGTTAAATGAAGCAGTATTATAGAGCTGTGATGGAATAAACTCAGTATGGTGCAAAATAAAGAGAGAAGGTTGTTTTGATTCAGAGATTGTCAGCAAGGTAGATTTGCAGTGTCAGGACAGTGCATGAAAATGAAGTTGTAGGGCAGCAATGTATAATTACGTTGGGAAAAACTTAGTTGAACAAACAGAGAAACCTGGAATTTGAATAATCTTAAAATGCTAAGAAATGCTGAGCATATACAGCAGTGTACATAGACTCTGTATACAGATCTGAGAAAGGTATGGCTTCTGCCTACAAAAGAAATTTTTTTCCATAAACCAGGCCAAAGAGCAATCTGAGCCCAGTGATAGTTAGGAGTACAGTGCATGCAAATGAAGCTGTAGGGCAACAATGCACAAGTGCAACAAAAAGAACTAGTACTGGGTAGGTTAGCAAAGCAGAGAAAACAATGGCTTGAAAGGTCAAGATACTGCAAATCTGGAAGAAATATAGGTGTACATAAGATTTGTTCACAAATCTGAGAGAGGTACAGCCTCTGTAGGTGCACTACTAGTTTTTTAAATCTTCAAGCATGTTAGCCATGGTGGTGTCAAGTGCTGCATCCATGGTATAGACACCAGTGATGTTGGAGTCTACAATATATGAGAGCAAAAGTTGATTCAGCCAACGGTTTGACACCCAAAACATATACTACATCTACAGTGTGTAACTCAGAGTTAGCACAGTATAAGCACATCATTGGCCAAAAGAAAATGACTTTGATTGTAACATTGAACTTCCCATGCAGAGCATTCATAGATCACCCCATAACTGATGGCATGTGTACTGCAACAATCTCCTCCAAACATCCTTAAATTTAGATAAAACCAGACTTCAAAAATTGTTCTTTGCCCCTTTTGAATTTTTTTCTGATGGTGGAGACCTTACAGCAACAATGGTGATTGCTACAGCAGAATCTTGCAAGTGATAAAATCACTGTGAAGGGAAATCCATCAAGTCAACTGCATCAATATCCTTGCTGAACTGGTTGACACCATAGTGTGCCACTAAATCATTGTGTGTATGTAATGCACTTGAGCAGCTGATGGAACACAAGGCACAAGAAATGGAATGTGGAATGGACTGGGGGCTCAATGAGGTTGGATAAAATACTGAAGAACAAAAATTCAACAATGAAGCAGCTGTAAACACCAACTACAGTAAAAGAGCAGGTGCTTGTGAGTGTCTGGAAGTGCCAAGGTGGATTAGATGCATTTGAAGGTGTTCTGGGCATGATGATGCCCATGGAAGGGGTGTTTGTTGTATATGGCCTTACTGTTCACAAACATGATAGACATGTTATAGTACAATGCAACTTGACTCAGAGTGCTGTAGGCCAAACCCCACACACTAAACTACAGCTTCTTGCCCACACTAATAAGCAATGATGGGCACTTCTTCCTTAGCTTCTGCTGTGGAGGTTTGAGCAATATCATCCAAGGTGTATTGTATGTGTGTAGTTTCTTGATAGTGTATTGGATATGACCTATCCATCCAGCATACAAATAAGATAGTACATTCTTGGTAAAACCAGCTTGAGGTGATGGATAACAGCATTCTATGCCAACATTAGAAAATGTAACACTACTTAATAACAAAACAGGATAACACTTACAATAATGTGGTATGAAGATCAAGTAATTTTACTGTTCTGACACCTGAGCACAGCAATATAAATCTGGCACATAGGCAAAAGTCTAAAACATCTTGAAAATGTTTTGCCGGCACTATTTGCTTTGGACATAATAGAGCCATCCTTACAATATACCATTATGAGCATCAAGAAGACACATAGAAATTGATGACAAAGAGACATGAGTCAGTCAATGTGGTTCGGGCAATAAAGAGATGACAATGCAACATCACATTAGTTGTTGTAATTATGTTCATCGGGGGATGTTAGTTTCAGATCTCAGCAAAGCTGTTTCCAGCATGTTTATCAGGGGATATTCCAATTATGTCCTTGCCTGGGCGCCTCAGTGGTGTCCCTTAACGAACATGTCAAAAACATCACTGGCAGATGCAATGGAGATGTCACTGGGTTGACATCTCAAAAATGTCTCCAGGTTTATGCTGTGAAAATACCTTCTCATTAGGTTATGTCAACATCTCATGAGGTCATTACAAAAATATAACACTGTTATATTGTAATTATGTTCTGAGTGATATTGTGGTGAGGTTGGTAATGTTGTTGGTGAAGAGCAGCACTAGACATCCACTTCACAATGCATGGTAGTTGAAAACCCATTATATTTGATTCAGAATGACATTACAAAGAGATAGGCAAGCAATTAAACTGAGTGGGGAGATATAATGATGCAATGGAACAAGGAATGCATTACAGATACATTTCTAGGAGGCAAGGCTCTTGTTGATGATCATCAGGCGGCTGTCAAGGGCACAGGCGTTCTGATTCTGGAAGAAGAGTTCTACATCCAGGTATTCAGTGAGGTTGAGGTAGTAGATGTTAAAGAATGCCCTACAAAACCATTAGCATGAGATGAGGGAGAGTAGGCAGCAACTTACTGCTGAAGCTCCCTCTTGTAACTGTTGTCATCATTGCCGGCACACTGACAACAGTCTTCGTGCAACTTGACCACAATGACATCAACAAACTTCCAGAAGGTGCTATTCTCAAGTTCTAAACTGTTGGTGCCTTCCTCCTCCTCCTCCTCCTCGTTGCCATCATTGAGCTGCAGGTTCAAGCATGAAGAGCTAGTAGATAACTGGTGGCGAGGCTGAAATGCGGAGGGGAATGTGAGGAGGTCATCTGCTTCTGTGTCCTTCACATGCATGGTGGTTGAAGAACTCATATCTTTGGTCAGATTGGATTCCTCCTCAGTCAAACCGAACCCGTTTTCAATGGTCATATGACCTACAAGACTCTCCCTTGCGGACACCGGAAGGTGAGACAAGAATGTGGGACTGTAGATGGCTTTGAGGTGCAGCAGAGTCTCCTTGTCAAGGACTTGTGGCAAGAAAAGCGCAAAGCGCAAAGCACTGGAGAAGATGATATCGGACGGACAGAGCAAGCATGTAAACAAGCTGAGATACATATCAAGAACGTGAAGCAATGACAGTAACCAAGGTCACTATCAACCTGCCCATCAGTGATGCTGCATGTCAGCCCAAGGATGTTGTCACATTCAATGATGGAGCTGAATAACTAGATATCATGCCATTGAGGAAATGCCCCAGCCATGAATAGACGTAACTATACCTTCTTCTTCATTGAATACTGGATCATCTGAGAATACTCGCCACGTTCAATGAGATAGATCAGTCATATTATAAGTCAGGAATGGTGATGCATGGCCTGGTAAGATCAAGGTAAGATACTGAGTTCGTTACGGAGGTAGTTAATATTAATTACAAAGAAGTGACTTATAATTATCAGTCTGATTGAGTCCAAGCTATATTTTAGCCATGTGTTGGCTTGGCGTGGACATGATCTATTTTTATTTATTTTCTCTGTTTGGCAAGGTTGAATGCAAACATCAGTAGTAATAAACAACAAGGAAAAGAAAAGAATGAATACTTACCGTTGCAAACTTATCAGCAGCAGTGTCAGCAAGACCTGTATTTCTGCAAGCTTCATGAGCAATGACATGAAGTCTTTTCACATGTTGGCTTGAAAGCTGCAAGGCGTTGACGTCCGCTGTTGATGAGCAAGGTTGGCATAAGTTGTCAGAAATGCCCACATTGAGGTTGTCATCGTCGGACTCGGCACCAGTAGCATCCGTGCTGTGGCCCACGGGAGTCGATGCAGGCTGAGGACTTGGAGTTTCAGGAACAACAGAGGGACTCAGGTTGAAGAAGTTGACAGCAGCGACAGAACTTCTGTTCTACCTTAGGGCTTGACTCCCATGGCTCCTCCTCCTATTGCTGAAGGAGTTGGTAGACTGGGCACGGACAGGAAAGCAGGAGCTCATGCTGGGGACTGTGTTGAGAGTGGGTGGTGGTGGCCGGAAGACAACAAGGCAAAGAAAATTGTCTGGGTGGAAGCCAACATTGCCATTATGTACAAAAGGTGAAACAAACAAACAAAACATAGGCAGGCTCTCATGACAGAGATGTTTCAGGATTGGCCGTTTGTTGACCAATGGTTGGTGGGCGCTGGGAATGGTGACAGCATTGTGGATGCTTGTGACAATAGTATGGAGATCAGCAGAAGCCATGGGTGTGGGTGAGCGAGATGAGGTCCAGGAGGTGCCATGGTCAAGGGCATGGGCAAGAGACTATGGTCTTGGTATGGAAACTGCAGTGAGGGGGAAGGAGCCAGGACTGGGGGCATCAGCTCAAATGGACATGTTCTATATGGGTGTGACAAGAGAATGCTCTCAGCTGGCATCTATGGATCCTGATGCATTGGTACCAATGAAGGCAAAGGTAGAGGATACAAGCCCTCAGGCCGGTCTTGAGGCATTGAGTCAATATTGCCAGTGTATACCCAAGAGTACCAGGAGCGGCGGCTGTCCAAGATGCCCAACTCAACTTCTTAGTGGCTTTTGAGGTCTTTGAAGGCCCTGCCCGTGCCTTTTTGGGCTGCCTGGGTAGCTTGGTTACTTTTGGCGGACATTCAAAGGTGAGCATGGGTGGGAGAGATGTTGCAGATGGCACCAGTGTTGATGGTGCACTTGGTGTGTTGACTCTTATCAATCCTGGGGCAGGAGTGTCAGTCTCTTTGACCTTCTTTGACATTTGTACATGTTGTGCAGCTGTAAGTCGAGCATTAGCACCATCCTCAATACGAGTGGGACAAACTCAAAGAGCAGGAGGGAGAAAATCATTAAGGAATTAATAGTTATGTATTGAGTAAGTGTTGAGGAAGAACACATTTGTATCTTTGTGTTTCAAAACAAATGTGGTGGCTGACGTCATGTCACGTTCTTGCATGCAATTTTGCTGCTCAATTGTTTCACAAAGAGAATTGACATAGTTATGCTGGACTAATGATTAGCCACACATACAATATCCTGAAAGGTAAACAAATAAGAACACTGGATCTATCTACTGACTTGCTCTCGAGTTATAACTTACCTGTGCTGCCACGATAACGCTAGTGTCTGTCTGTTCTACCTGAGGAAGGCAAAGGACTGGATGTATCATGTTGCCAAAAGAGTAAAGCTGCATGGCCACAAATTCCACCCTGTAAGGGAACTGACTGTGAAGGAGGATCTTGCGCAGATGACCAAGCTTAAGCTAGAGTAATATGTGAGAGTATGAACACCATTGAGAGAAGACCACTTACCTCTCCATTGACACAGACAATTACTGAGTCATTGACTCATGCTACATCACCCTCCTTTGCAACCATGGATGCCCCAAGTTGAGATGATGTACATAAAGAAGCTGCTGTTAAATTGATCTTGAAGCATTCTGTTGACTTTCATCAAGTGTTCATTGCTTTCTTGGCATCGAGAAGCCGGCCAGTACCTGTCAGCATTAATGAAAGGAAGTCAACGCAAATGATACAAGATCAAGAGCAACTAACCTGAATTATTGGTCCTTTTCTTTGGGATGCCCAGTAGATGTTGTACATTTGTATTCTTCTGCACATGGCATCTGATATCCTTGCCTGCACAAATCCACCTTTTTCGAGCTGAATCAAATCAATATCCACTGGCTGCAGTGTGCTTGACGATGTCTTGCTGTGCAAAAGTCATGGACAATAAGTCAATAGACATGATTGAAAGACTCATAACGCTCCGTCAAGAGGAGAAGGGCAGGCCCAAATCACTTGATAAAGAATGGGAGGTGAAGGATAAAATGAAACTTGGGCTTGCTGATTGAAATCTTTGGCACACACTTTGCTGTGATGTTGAGAAAATCTTCAATTGTATGAGACAGCTGTGCCTATCTCTTCTGTGAGTAAGCACTAGGTGGATTGCGGGTGAATCTCCTGTATCTGCCACTGTATCCTTAATCTCTATATGCCATACCAGTGCAACTAGCTCGCCTATCAGCTGCCAGCTGTTGAGAACATCCTTAGAGACTATATCATAGACAAAAAACCAGCATTACCTGGGCCAAGCTCTTGAAATGCTTGCCGAGGAGGCTACCTTTGTACCTGAAAATGTAATCTGCATTGAGACTCAGTGTGTTAAGCCCCGATATCTCAACTGCGGTGAGGCGGTGCTGAAACTTCTTAAGATCACATGGTGCAGGACATGACCCCTGAGGATGTCCAGTCAGCGGATGGGTCAAAAACCCGAGGATGTCAGGGCAGCGGTGACCGGCAGTTGACCGACCATGTCCTGGCGGCTGCCTCACTGTAGGGGTTGGGTAACTGGTAGGGGATGCTCTGGCCCATACCCCAGGTGTGTGTCAGGGCGGCCGCCTGCCTTGTGCATTTAGAATGTCAATAATAGTCCAGTATTTTTAGCTATAATGCTCCTGTTATTGCAGCTACAGTGCTCCTGTTATTGGAGGTATAATGGTCCGAGTATTGCAGGTACAAATACAATGCTCCGGCCATTGCAGGCATAATGCTCTGGTTATTTTAGCCACAATGCTCCAGCCATTTCAGGTATAATGCTCTGGCCATTGTGGCTACAACACTCTGGTTATTGAAGTCATCCTGCTCCAGTTGTTGTAGCTGTAATGCTCC